TTTTATTTGATGTGTATTGGAAGAGAGGTAGTCTTATACAGCGAGTATATCCTGAACTCTATATTTTAACTAGAAAAGTTGGGGGTCATCTTATACGCCCAGTCGTCTTATATGCTGTAAAATATGGTACATTTACTTGGAACCCCAAAATTGATGTTTCTGTATCTTAGTTGTGGAGCTGATGCAGAATGTATGAGTTTTGTTGCAAAACAATTACAAAATTTTGGCATAGGTTTGGAGGTGATTCCAGATTTCGGTGTTGTAGCAAACAAAGCTTTTCCTTTGGTGTGCCACCCTAGTTGTGAAATACTCTCTCTTTGGAAGCCCAATTGTTGTCTTTAACATACTTTTTATTCACTTTCCAAAATTCTTATTTATGTCTTGTAGACCAGTTTTAGTTGCTCTTCTCTTGGCATTTCAAACAAAACGATATATAGGGAGATGAGTTAGCAATTTCTTACTGGCTTTCTTAGCACTTCAACAAAAGCTGTTATCAACTGTTTTTCAAAATCTGGGACATTACCTTCTCAAGGGAACTCTGTTGGCTTCTTCACATCCTGCCCCTCGTAGATTCCTTGCTTTTGACAACATTTTTTATTGAGACAAGTATTTAATCTGTATTTTTCTGCTGGTTCTATGTTGCCTTAGTATTATTGTTGTGTCTTTTAATTGTATTACAGACCTTTTTGTTTCAACTGATTTTGTCTATTGTTTACATAGGGCTTTAACACACTGGCCTGTTGTTTCATAGCAGTCTATTGTCTCATACCAATTGGGGTGTTTTAAGCAAAAGAAACATACCAGCATGGGAACAGTTACTATCACACCTTCTCTGCAATGAGAGCTCAGGTGCCACTTTGGTAATGCATGTCCCCACAGTCAATCTTCTGCACTGCCTTGCTGATCCCACTTTCTTCCCCATGTCTGTCCTACATAGTGTATTTTTGTTGTTATTGTTGTTAACTGCCATCATGTCAGTCTCAACCCTTGGTGACCATATGGATGAGACATCTCCAGGCCCCCCTGTCCTCTACTGCTCTTCCCAGCTCCTGTAAACTCTTATTCATGGTCTCTTTAATAAAGTCCATCCATCTAGCATGTGGCCTTCCTCTCTTTCTACTTTCCTCCATCTTTCCTAACATTCTATTTATTCTATCCCCCAGTATTTTTAAAGATTTGTTTTGCCATAATTGCAGCATGCTGGTGATCTGCCATCGCAGTGCAATTGCACAATTACAGCAAAAAAATTATATATATATATATATATATGGGAGAATGGAGTAAAAGCAAGGTTGTTCCTGTGAACCATGATGTCCTCTTTGTCGAGATATCAGAAATGGAGTGATTTCACCCTGTTTAGGGATAGGGTAGGGGAGAAAAAATAGTGCCATACCCACTCACACCACAGGACTGCCAGAATATCAGAACTTCAGGACACTAGTTTTGCTTCAACTGACTAACTAACTAATGCAGCTATCCCTTTATAAAAGCTTACTTGTATAACTGTATATTGTGATGTGTATACTTTATGTAGAAAATTGGACTAGGGCTGAAATAAACAAATATTATTCACATCAAGATGTAGGAGCAAGTGATGTATTTACTTATTAAAATATTTATACTCTGTCCTTCATAGAATCATAGAATCATAGAGTTGGAAGAGACCACAAGGGGCATCCAGTCCAACCCCCTGCCATGCAGGAACTGCCATGCAGGAACTCCCAATCAAAGCATCCCTGACAGATGGCCATCCAGCCTCTGCTTAAAGACCTCCAAAGAAGGAGACTCCACTACTCTCCGAGGGAGTGTGTTCCACTCTCGAACCGTCCTTAATCTAAAGATCTCAGGGTGGCATACAATAATATTAACCTTGTTGGCATTTAAAACTAGACAATTAAAAAAACTTTTAAAACATTTAAAAATAGTGCTGCCCACAAATTAGATAAAATCAGTTAGGATGCAAAAGTTTTAATAAAAAGGTATGCACTGACTTGGCACCAGGATGATACCAGTATTGGTGCCAATTGGGCCTCTGAGAGGAGGGTATTCCATAATCAAGGTGCTACAGCATAGAAGGCCCTGTTGCATGACCTTCCACAATGTATTGCCCCTACCAGTGGGACACAGAAGAGCCCCCCTCCACTGTTCCTCAGAACTGTTCCTATCATTGCAATAGTACAACTGTTTGTTTGGCAGAGGGTTAAGAAAAAGGCAGCATTTTGTGTAACTGATAACACTTATTGAGAATGGTTATGAGTTTTGAAAACACATCACCCCCAAAGTCATTAGACAGTAAGGCTTATGGTTATCCAGTTGAAGAGGCATATTGGCCATTAAAATTGGCACAGAAGTAGCCTTGACTGAATTGTAGCATGACATTCTGATGTCATTCATGAAGTTACAAATGAGCTAGGCTCAAGGTACTGACAGAGGGAGAGACAGGTAACAGTAAGACTGAGGGGCTAAACAGACTGCCCCTTTGGAGCAGTGTCCTGTCGTCCCTTTCATCACCAGACTGACGCTGCAGCAATCGCATGCCACAGCCCCAATCCAGCATTTTTTGCACCCAAAAAGGAGTGGCAAAATCATCTCCTTTTTAAAACAGGGAAAGTGTGCCTTTGCTGCCACAGCGGTGTTCTTTCAGGGTTTTTGCGGTGCAGTGCATCTAAACACTGCAACTGCAGAAACAGAGAAATGCCGCCTGCTGTGCGGTCGCTCAGGCAGCATGATGCATTGGGGCAGCATTTGGGTGTGTGGTGCGTGGTTCCCACGTCCCCAATATACCCTGATGCAGGTACAAAATGCCGGTCTGTACAGCCCCTGAGTCAGAGTACTGTCAAGATTATGGGACAGGGGAATGTTTTAAATTGCCTGTTTTAAAATTTGCTGTACCCCGTTCCGATTGCCTTGCAGAGGCTATAAATAAAAATTTATTATTATTATTATTATTATTATTATTATTATTATTATTAAGATGGATCTACAGGACAGGTGAACAGTAGGATTATTTGAGGGCTATTATAAAGGAAGATTTTTGTAATCGGTTTATAATATTTATTGTCAACGTATAACCCCTCTAAAATTCAGGGCACATTTTGAAGAACTTTCTCTTTATGTGTGATTGTCTGGCAGATTCATATGACAATGTAGAGATGTAAATCTGTTGAATTGGATCTTGGATCTGCCTTTCACTAGTGGAAGGGTTCTACCTGTTGAAGGTCTCTCTGCTTGATTTTGGGGAAGCCTGCACCCAACACTATACCACAGCTCATGCCATACATTGATCCTCTTTCATGGGGCCAGAGGAACTAATATAGAAGAAGGAGAGCAGAGATGTCTGCTTCAACCAGCTTGGGCCCATCTACCCTAGGGGTTATTTTTGGAGGGTATTTTTGAATAGGGTTTGGTCCTTCTAGGGCCCTCAAGCTGGTTTTATTCCATATCAGTTCCAGGAGTGACAGCCATATGGCTTCTTGATCTGTAGCAAATCTTATGGGCATTGTCCATTGAACTCATGTGATAGTCTGATTTGCATTAATTTAGGATATATGCATGCCATGTGGCTTGCAATTGGCAGCAATCTCAAAATCATATTTGGTCACCTAAATGCATGCGCATGTATCTGGTAGCGGTGCTTTAAAAAATTTCAGTGACTCTTATACTGTACTTTTTCACTGTGGACCTGTGAAGCCACATGAGAAGATCACTTTTCAAGTTATTTGCAAAACACAGTAACTCTGGGACATCAATGACATTTATGTATTGATTACTACCATATGTTTCCCCTCTAAGTCAAGACTGTTTTCATAATTTCTTTTGAGGTCAGATGTCAATGTGGGGACAAAGACAATCAATTTATATTTTGTTCAGGTGTGGAAAGTATGATGTCAAACCAAGAAGGTTGTCCTAGTTACTTGGGTTAACTAAGGACTCAAAGGAGTGGTGCTCAGTGTTGCAGAGCCAGTGGTTAATGTGGGGCTTTGTGTTTAACAAGAAGAACAGACTACATCTTTTTGGAATGAAAAAGGCCATAACTTTATTGGTTACAGCTGAATAGGCTTTTCCCACAGCATGGTCTGGATATGGGCTTCAATTGACCAACCTGCTGGCTGATGAATGGGTTCACTGATCAGCCCCCCTGCCAAGCAATGGAAAACCATTTACCCAGCCTGCTTGGTGAGTTGGTGGGGGGTGACAGCTGGGGGTTGGTGGGAAGCATGGAGTCACCAATAATGCATTATCCAGGCTCTTGCTCACCTACAAAAGACTGGAAGGGTCAGCACCATTTTTTTTTCTTTTCTTTGAATTCTGGATCTATGTGAATCTTTGAATCTTTGCTTGCCTTTAGATGTCATTTTGAGCAGAATGACACAATGCAGGGGAGTTCAATGGATAAGCAATCTAAAACATTTTTCTGTGAGTGAGAACTACTGAATTCAGTTGAATCTATACTTGTGCAGACTTGTATAAGATTGCACGATATGCCATTGATCTTACACCCACTTTCTGGGGAATTAAATTTAAAAATGAGGCAGCAAATTAGAGGAGGTGGCGGCAACACCTGTAAGGGCTGAAGTAACTGCCCAGGCATGCACCCAATCCAATAGGAATGCAGATGGATGATGAGAACACTGGAAAACATGCATGGTGGGAACAACTCCCCCCCCCCCCACATCCTCCTGCATCCTCCTGCAGCCAGACATAAACTGATACAGGGTACATGTGCACAAACAAGAAACACCCTCTTGTACAGATGTGACTATATGATGGGGGTCCTTTGTGGCTTTCCAAATTGATTTCAGTTTGGATTAAAACAGATGTGTATGGCAGTAAAGAGGTCAAACTGGGCATGTTACTATGCAGTGGAGCTGGAATACAGCTCTCATGTAGATTCATCACCTAAGGCATATCTATCATGGAGCTGTCTTGGCAAGATTTGTTCAGAGGAGATTTGCCATTGAGGCTGGGACTTACTCAGTATCACTCATTAGGTTTCTATGGCAATGGAGATTTGAACCCTGGTCCCCCAGAGTCCTAGTCCAACCTACAAACCACTGTACCACATTGACTCTCTCCTAAAAGTGTACTGTGCCACATTGTTTTTTCTACATAGTATGTATCATATGGATTGGTTTATCAACTGCAACAAATGGATATGCATCTCATTATGTACATGATCCATGTGTGCCTAATGACATTTCTGTGTCTGATATTTAATCTAGTGTTAATGAGACACTAGCTTGTTAATGTTTTAAATTGCTGAAAATGTTACTAGTCAGATGTTTGCTTCAAGAGAAGAAAAGCTGAATGAATTTGCAACTCAGGGAAGGCTGTGGTTTCCAACAGGCTGTCATCTCAGCATGGCTTTACTTTTATCCACAACATGCCTCCATTGCTGAAGGAACATTTCAGGCCCGCACGTGGAGCCACCTGTCACTTGTGGGTGACTTTGGTTGCTGAATGAACGTCACAGCCTGTGATGTTGAGGCACATAGTTGACCTACTTTTCTCCTCATAGATAATTAATAAGTGTTCCTGGTTAGGAAAGAAATTTATTTCTACCTGGCCTCTCGCTTGCATGTCAGGGAAAACTCACATGTGGGCAATTACAGGCTGCTGTCATGAGCACCCAGAGATATGCCTGCTCTCACTGAAAAAGCCAAGCCTTTGGGAAATGGCTTTCTTTTTTTAGTCACCAGCCCTTGCTAGCTGGTGAAATTCCACTGCAGAGCTCATGTGGAACTGGGAAAAAAAGAGGATGTTGCCGATGAGAAATGTTGAAGTCACGCTTGGTATAAATAAAGGAATCTTGTCTAACTGTTGTCTTTTTTTTATTATTTTTTTAAGGAAAAAGACTGCGTATTTCATACAGCTAAACAAACAGGAAGGGACTGAGCCAAGGGTGAACAAGGTCTTAATTTCATTTGGTTTAATCTTTGTTTGGTGATCAAGTGTTTCAAGTGTTTACATGTATACAGTGATTAAATTGTCATTTTGTAAAGCACTGCCAGCTTCAGTAATTTGGGAGGAATTTGTGGGAACAGATTCCTTTACCTTGGAAGAAGCAAGGGATGCAAATCAAGAATTTCCTCACATTATGGACCTTATCCCACGGGGCCAAAAGCAGCAAGAATCCACTAAGAATCAGGCGCTATAGCGCTATACATTCCTGGGCGATCACACGACGTCGCTCAGAATGCACTAAGAATCAGGCGCTATAGCGCTATAGTTTTCCGGGTGATCACACAACGTCACTCAGAATCCGCTAAGAATCAGGCGCTATAGCGCTATAGTTTTCCGGGTGATTACACGACGTCGCTCAGAATCAAACAAGAAACCGCTCGGAATGCAGCATCATTCGGGTTCTTTTGTATGTCGGTTTCAGCGGGCATTGCAATAGCGCTAGCTTATCCATAGCGCTATTATAGCGCTAGCGCCATATTTATAAAAACAACATATTTAATCTTGTTTTAAGGGGTGGGTGGAGGGATCATGTTTGGAGGGAATGTTTTTAACTGTGCTGTTTTAAAATGCTGTAACCCGCCCCGATTGCCTAGCAGAGGGGCGGGCTATAAATAAAACTTATTATTATTATTATTATTATTATTATTATTATACTAGCGCTATAGTACTGCAATGATGCTCATATCGCTTTCTTGCCACTTTTGAGAGCAGCGTGGGATAAGGTCCTATGTCTGCCATGCATGCATTGTGAGAAAGGCAGTGCTGTGGAGGTGGTAGGTCCTTTGATGATCTTGAAAACACTGCAAGCTCCCAATTTTTCCAACTTTTGGAGCTTTGATCTATCACAAGAGTGAGAGTCATTGCCCAGCAGAGAGGGTCCAAATTAGAAGCAAGGTGTAGGGAAAAGTTTATTTCTGCATCAAAGATAGGTCTACCTGGAAAGATCCAAAGTGAGACCACTGTTGAATGATTCCACAGCTATTACAAAATGGAAACTTTAACATCATAGATCAAATCAAATCCTCTCTGTCTACCATTTATGAAAATCTTTGGGCTGTCCCAGAGATAGTTATGTTTGTTCAAATCTATTTATTAAAATAGTATGTGAAATTGAGTCAACAGGAACTTTGGATGCTTACAAGGAGTCTGTCACTTAAACAAGGAATTTCTTAACTAGCATTTGTAAATCAAGCTGGTAGTTTCTTCTTCTTATCTATATATTAAACACAAGACAAAGGTGTGTGAAGAGCAAAGATACTGCCTAAATAAGGTCCAAAACACACTCTAGAAATAATCCAGTTTGAAACCACTTTAATTACTGTGGTTCAATGCTAGGGAATTCTGGGAACTGGAGTTTTGTGAGACATTTGGCCTTATCTGTTAGAGAACTCTGGTGCCAAAATAAACTATAATTCTCAGGATTTCCTAGGACTGAACCAGGGCAGTTAAAGCAATCTCAAACAGAATTATTTCTGCAGTGTGTTTTCTGGACCCAAGTCTCCTGATTTCAAATGATGGAGATTTCAGAGCTCATGAGTCCAGCTCGGGAAAAGGGAATTGATGAACTGAGTGAGGATTTCCATTTGTATTATTTTCACCAGTGCATCACTTTATTCTTATTTCCAGAAGCAGCAGCAATGAATGATTACCAAAGAGGTGAAGTGTATTCTTCCAATGTGGTAAAGCAGGGCAGTTTGGCAAATTCTCTGTTCCTACAAGTCAATCCACAGTGTGCCTTTCAGTGTTTGAGAACAGCTGTTGTATTCCAGGTTCAGCTGCCCCAGGAGCCATTTTAACACAGCAAAACCAGATATTGAATGGCACATGATGTGTTGTTATCATTCTGAAAGATTTGATTCATTTCTAGTACAACCAGAAACCAGAGCTTGAGGTTTTTTGTGTGGTTTAAACAATAACTCTTAGAACTAATGGCTGCAGGATTCTGGAAATTTGTAGTCTAAAAAAAGGTATATTTCCAAACATTGCCAGAGACATTACGGGCCTTTGCAGACTGCCAGAAATAGTGCAAATTGAGTCCACT